ACTTGATAATGCTTGGAGGGCAAGGGTGGCCTCTAATTGATCTTTGTGTGCCCTTGTACCCAGTGGAGGGCCCGGCACATGGTAGGTGTACCATGAATGTTCGTAACACAAATGCATCAATGGTAACCACCTCCCTCCTTCATTTACTCTTTCCTTCTAATAATACAGGCAACATTCTATTAGCTCTGTGGGCAGCCAGAGCGTGCTGCCAACTCGCCATCCTGGGCTCAGTGCCTGATTCTCCACACTATCCCTGCCCTGTGCTGCTCAGCCCACGCGTTTCCCAGCACCTGCACCTCTACTCTGAACCCAGCCTGTCATTCCTCCTTGCCCTGTTCTGTCTCCTTGGATTCAGGCCTCCCCTCCAGCTGTGGGATCTCTCTAGGTCTGTATTTGTCACCTCTGGTTGGCACTTCCTGTATGCTGTCATCACAGGAGCATAAGGCTGGGAGAAGCCTCTTGATCTTCATTTGGGTCCAGGATGGAATTTCTGTCCACTGTGGTGCTGGGTAGAGTCGGGCAGCCGAAGCCAGGGCTGCATGAGGAGAGGGCTATGTCCCCAGGGTCTGTCACAGAGTAAGTTTCAGGTCTCATAATTTGCAATAAATCCATGCATTAGGCACAAGCCAGGATTCCTGAGCCAGATATCTCTCAATCCCAATGCTCACTCCACCACCAACTTGCTGTGTCCTGGGTAAATCATATGGCTTCTTTTTAAAAAATAAATTATTTTAATTTGTTTACTATCCAAAGTACTCATTAATTGTTTATTTATCAAGAGAAACTATTTGTAATTTTTTTGTGTGTGTGAGATGGAGTCTCACTCTATCGCCCAGGCTGGAGTGCAGTGGTGTGATCTCAGCTCACTGCCATCTCTGCTTCCCAGGTTCAAGTGATTCTTGTGCCTAATTTTTGTATTTTTAGTAAAGACAGGGTTTTACCATGTTGACCAGGCTGATCTCGAACTCCTGATGTCAAGTGATCCACCTGCCTTGGCCTCCCAAAATTCTGGGATTACAGGAGTGAACGACTTACCGGTCCAAAGAGAAGCTATTTCTTAGCCCACATATTCATGTTTCATAGTTCAGGAACACAGGTCAGTGATAAACTTCTAGGTAATTCAACCCAAAGAAATTCTTTATATTCCAAAATCACTTTGCACTCTGAACAATAACAGTTGTCCTCATTGCCTCTGCATATGCCTTCTTTCTTGGTTCAGCCACAGCAAACTTAGAGAGCTGCAACGCTCCGACTCTCTATAAGTCAATAGACTGCTCTGACAATGTGAAATCGCAGATACTGGGCCAGAAGGCCACACACCTGAGTTTTGTCAAAGCACTGGAAATCGAGGTAGTTGTCCTTGATAGGTATGTCAACCTCAACACCAATGTCTTTCCTGGATCACTTTTTTTTTTTAACTGTGATTTTAAAAATTACACACATGGCCGGGCGCGGCAGCTCACGCCTGTAATCCCAGCACTATGGGAGGCCGAGGCAGGTGGATCATGAGGTCAGGAGATCCAGACCATCCTGGCTAACACAGTGAAACCGCGTCTCTACTAAAAATATAAAAAAATTAGCCGGGCGTGGTGGCGGGTGCCTGTAGTCCCAGCTACTCGGGAGGCTGAGGCAGGTGAATGGCGTGAACCCGGGAGGCAGAGCTTGCAGTGAGCCGAGATCGCGCCACTGAACTCCAGCCTGGGCGACAGAGCGAGACTCTGTCTCAAAAAATAAATAAATAAATAAATAAATAAATATCACACACATAACATAAAATTTACCATCTTCACCATTTTAAAGTATCCAGTACGGTAATATAAGTACTTTTTTTTTTTTTTTTTTTTTTTTTTGAGACGGAGTCTCGTTCTGTCGCCCAGGCTGGAGTGCAGTGGTGCAATCTTGGCTCACTGCAAGCTCCACCTCCCGGGTTCACGCTGTTCTCCTGCCTCAGCCTCCCGAGTAGCTGGGACTACAGACACCACGCCTGGCTAATTTTTTGTATTTTTAGTAGAGACGGGGTTTCACCATGTTAGCCAGGGTGGTCTCCATCTCCTGACCTTGTGATCTGCCCACCTTCTGTTTCTAGGAGGTTGACTACTTTAGATGTTTCACATGAGAGGAATCATGCAGTATCTGATCTTTTGCAACTGGCTTATTTCACTTAGCATAGTATCTTCCAGGCTCATCCATATTGCAGCATGTGACAGGATTTCCTCCTTTTTTAAGGCTGCATAATATTCCACTGTGTGGATATGGTATATTTTTTCCCATTCATCTGTCAATGGACGTCTAGGTTGCTTCCATCTCTTGGCTATTGTGAATAATGCTACAGTGAACATGGGTTAAAATACATCACTTCTGGAGCCTCAGTTTCCTCATCCGTAAAATGGGGCTAATCATGCCTGCCCCATTGTTGCTGGCACATGAAGAAAGCCTTATAAATCATGCTCCTAGCACCTTTCACTTTTCCTTTAAGATGCTTCTCCCCACCATAATGATGCCCTTTTAATGTTATGATTCATTTCACTCTCTTTGTTCCTCATGAGGATGTAAGCTCCAGGCCTGCCTCATTCATCCCTGTATGTCCAGCCTGAGAAACAGTACTTGTTACAAAGTTAGCACTCAGTGGAGTACTTGTTGCAAAATAAATAGAGGGATTTTGATGGAGTGTTTGGGCTAAGTGTTGCCTAACCGTGAGGTTTGCTGACTCTGGGGTCACACACAACTGAGTTCTGCTTTCAGATCCACCACTTAACCTCTCTGTGCCTCAATTCCCTCCTCTGTAAAAAGACCATGGAGCATAGTTGTGCATGTTAATAATAGTAATAAATATTAATCATACTGTATATAAAGCATTTTGTGCCGCATGCATCACACAGAAAGGACTCGGGAAACAGGGTCCATGAAGAGGAATGACACATGAATGGTGCTGTCGCTGTTCTGAGATACAAGTTTTGTTCTGAGATTCAATACCGTTTATGTAAAAAATACACATGCCAATTAACAAAACAGGTTTTTAGCAGAAAGATCTACAAACAGAAGGATGCACAGAAAACACATTTAAATGATGTTCTGGAGAGAGGGAACAGGGAGCAAGGAGAGATGATAAAAGGAAACAAACTAGGGGATAGGGGGTGCTCCAGGTTCCCAATAAGAATGGCAATCAGGGCTGGACACGGTGGTTCATACCTGTAATCCCAGCACTTTGGGAGGCCGAGACAGGCAGATTACTTGAGGTCAGAAGTTCGAGACCAACCTAGCCAACATAGTGAAACCCCGTCTCTACTAAAAAATACAAAAAACTAGCCGGGCGAGGTGGCGGGCGCCTGTAGTCGCAGCTACTCGGGAGGCTGAGGCAGGAGAATGGCGTGAACCCGGGAGGCGGAGCTTGCAGTGAGCTGAGATCTGGCCACAGCACTCCAGCCTGGGCGACAGAGCGAGACTCCGTCTCAAAAAAAAAAAAAAAAAAAAAGTGAATTAAAGTATGTATTCAGTGTTATATAGTTTTGGGTTTTTGAAACAGGGTCTCACTTTGTCACCCAGGCCGGAGAGCAGTGGCACGATTATGGCTCACTGCAGCCTCAAATTCCTGGGCTTAGGCGATCCTCCCACCTCAGCCTCCTGAGTAGCTGGGACTATAGGCACGCACCACCACACCCAGCTAATTTTTAAAGTTTTTGTGAAGATGGGATCTTGCTATGCTGCCCAGACTGGTCTGGAACTCCTGGACTCAAGAAATCCTTGGGGCCGAGCGCGGTGGCTCAAGCCTGTAATCCCAGCACTTTGGGAGGCCGAGGCGGGTGGATCACGAGGTCAGGAGATCGAGACCCGACCAGTCCTGGCGCTACATGGTGAAACCCGTCTCTAAACTAAAATACCAAAAAAAAACGTAGCGCGGACGAGGTGTGCGGCGTTGTTAGTCCCAGCTCACTCGGCAGGCTGAGACGGAGAATGGCTGAACCCGGGAGGCGAGCTTGCACGTGAGCCGAGATCGCCGCCACTGCACTCGCAGCCATGGGGTGACACAGCGGAGAACTCGTCTCCAAAAAAGAAAAAAAAAAAAAGAAAAATCCTTGGGCTCCTCCCCAATGTGCTGAGATGAGGTGTGAGCCACAGAGTGCTGGGCCTCATATATAAGTAGTGCATGTTCCAGTATAAAATCCCAAGCATTTTGGCCGGGGCGCGGTGGCTGCACGCCTGTAATCCCCAAGCACTTTCGGGAGGCTGAGACGGGCGGCATCAGAGGTCACGGAGATCGAGACCATCCTGCGCTAACACGGTGAACACCCGTCTCTACTAAAAAATACAAAAAACTAGCCGGGCGAGGGTGCTGGCGCCTGTATCGCCAGCTACTAGCGGTGAGGCTGAGAGGGAGAATTGGCTGACCCGGGAGCCGGAGCTTGGCAGTCGAAGCTGAGATCTGGCCCACAGCACTCCAGCGCTCTGGGCCGACAGAGCCGAGGACTCCGTCTACAAAAAAAAAAAAAAAGAGAAAAAAAAAAAAACCAAGCATCACTTGACAGATGTCAGAAGAACCTTCCTCCACTAAGGTGGCGAAGGTGGTGGGGCGCGATGGGATT